AACTTACTTAAGATCTGGAATGCAAACAAATATATAGGCATGGTGGATGTATTCAACTGCCACTTAAGGTTCTGGTTGGTGCAAAGTGTAAAGAAAACATGCATCCACGATGAATCTCACTGTTTTTGTTCAATCTAATGGTGTTGACTCTATGTCTTAAATTGCTGGTGCTAATTGGAATGGGAAAACGATAGCCTATGCTACAGATAATGTAACATTGGCACACACTCTCCTCTTAAGTTCAACATTGTTTGCGCATGAAACAACTATACGTAGAAAGCGTTGAAGTTCAACTAGTTCTTAAACCGAATTTCTAGTTGCAAGGGACGCCATGAGCCTTTCAAAGGGTGCCTTGCTACTTGTGAAACTAAAAGTGCAAGAGTATGAACTCTTCCATTTCTCTTCTGTAAAGGTGAGGCGTTGTAAGGAATTATATCTATTTCTTTTCACTTAATATATAATTCTATTTGAAGTAATGAAAAATTGTAATGCAGAAATTTTGAACTAACTAGTATGCTGAACATGTTTAATAGTTTGAGTTTCCACTCTGTGAACCAGAGTACAAAACCGTAAACTTCAATGGAGATGTAACATCCAAGAATCTTAGAGTTCTTAAATGACGAAAGATATGCTACCACAAAAATCACTTTGGAAGTCAAGGGATGCGGTAGATTAAGAGTTTACTTGTCTCAACACCTGCTGAGATACACAATGGATGGTTCTAAGACTCCGTTTGAATATAAAGAAATAAATGTTTGGTGACCACCCGCCCGTTATAAACAAGGAACGTATCAATTTAGAATTAAAATTGTAGTGTAATGTAGAGTGCTAGATGGTTGTTTGAATCCGTTCCGTGGTCAAGAGATTCATAGTTGTTATTATTTGTTATAATTAGGACTTGAATTTTTTAGGATGAGCCTGACTATATCGAAAATGATGGTAGGGAATAAAAAGCAAAGAGTGCTTAAATCCTAAGTAGTTTGATTGGCGAGAGAATTAGGAAGGAAACCAATTATGAGACAACTTTTCTATTGCTTGCATTGCTTTCAATATTTCACAACAAATATCCTTTGAATATTCCTTTCGTTACTTGATTAGATTATAACTCAAATGAGTTAATGCTTGCACAACTACTTATATCAGTTAATGGTTTCCGTTTAGTGGTAAAATCTTTCAGCAATTACTAGTTGTCCTGTGTTGTGACTTGTTAAACATAAAAGCAGGCACATGGATTCCTCAAGACATATTGGGGGATTCTTCAAGGCATCCCTTCTATGTGCCGAAGCCCATGAAGGAACACAAGTATTATTAAGCGCTCCAACACAATCTTGTCATTCAAACATAAAACTATCTATGAAATTTGTACTTACATACTAGTAAAACAAAGAAAAATCAAATAAAAATGAAATTATAATACCTTGAACCATAGATGATATCCTTGGTCGTATAAGATCTTCGGATGTGTTGAATGCTTATTCCGTGATCTGATTAGATTATAAGTCAACTGTATTATTGCTCGTTGATGCAAGTCAATCCATACATCTAAAAGCATGTTTAATTTACCCTTTTCTTACTTGTAACTATAATGTTTAGTTAGGAATTAGATGTTTCTAATTAATTTTTATGACGTTTGGTGACCAATTGACCTAATTGCAAATATTGACAAAATTGGGCAAATTGGTGCATATTAGTGAAGTATTGGGTAGCAATCGAAAATGGCCCAATTAGACTGATTCAACAAATTAAAGAAGAAGAAGGAGAGGCCAGCAACAACACATGGACCCTTGAAATGGAGCAACCTTAGAAGCTTTGAAGTTAAGGAAGATGGAGGAGCAAGCAATCTTCAAGGCTAAGGAAGAGGAGGGATGACTTGATGGTTACCATGCTTGGTTGCTAAGGAAGAAGGTGTTGATGTGAGGTTGCTGATTATTGGGGCTGGAAATCAGAGGCAAATCAGCATGGGAAGCTTGAGAAAGTGAAGGATTAGTGGCAATGAAAGACAACAAGGTATGGGCACCTATACATGGTCAAAGAGTAAGGGCTTGTATGGGTGATGGTTTATTTGAGTTTTTAGTTTAGTTTTTCGTTTGAGTTTGAGATGTGATTTAAAATGTGTTTTGAGAGAAAATTTTAAAAAGTGTTTGGATAGTATTGTAATTAAAATATTATGGACAAAAATTGTGTAAAAATAATGTTTGAAATATTTTTTAAAAGGTGAGTTAAAATATTGTTTTGATAGTGCATTGAGTTTTGTGTTTGAGAGCGAAATGAGACAAAAAGTGAAATGAGAGGTTGGCCAAACAACCCTTAAGTCTCCCTTTTCTACTAAGAAAGACCAAGCAAGAAGCTAAGGTGAACGAGGTCATACTCTTCTATAAAAGGCAGAAGATCAGCACCGGCACGGGGAGAGGAGATTGAGAGAGATAGAAAGACCAAGCAAGAAGCTAAGGTGAACGAGGCCATACTCTTCTATAAAAGGCAGAAGATCAGCACCAGCACCGGGAGAGGGGAGAGAGAGAGAGAGAGAGAGAGAGAGAGAGAGAGAGAGAGAGAGAGAGAGAGAGAGAGAGAGAGAGAGAGAGAGAGACCCATAGATAGATATACATTAGAGCGAGAAGAAGGGAGCAGTATGCAAAAGCCACGGGTGGTGACTCGGGGAAGAAGTGGAGTCACTTGCCCTAGTCACCAGTCTCCAACAGCAGTAGCAGATTTGTTCCTTTACTCTTTTTTATTTCCTTTCCATATTTTGCTATGCAGATCATTAGGGTTTAATCCCTTGAATCCCTCTAGTTATTATTCATAGTTGTGCTTGGATGATATTTGTGTGCCTCATATTAGAGTTTGAATTAACCTTTTGATTAGCATGATCAACTAGTCAATTGTGTATGCATGTTAGGGAAATCCCTGATTGGCAAACCTAACTTAGAATGTCTAGTATTAGCCAGTAACGAGGAGGCAATAGCCCAATAATTCCAAACAACAACAAAAGTTAGTTGTTTGGCATGAGGTGGTCATAAAGGTTTAGGAACTTAATAGCTTAATAGTATTCTAGAATTAACAACGGAAATTAGTTAGTTTGTTACTATTAAGACTCTGTCTGGAACATTCGGACGTGACCTTACAGTGTATAAGTGCCGGGTCAAACACAGTTTCATACCACAAAGAGTGCATAATAATTCACTACATAACTATATAGAGGAGAGTGGATGAAGACCCTAGGTTCCATCCTATTTGTGTTTCTGGCAGTTCACTTAGGGCTTGTTTGATAAAGCCACTAAATGCTTAAAATTATTTGATTAAGCATGTTTTCAATTCAGCATCTTTGATAACAAAAAATGAACCTATTAATGAAATAAGTGGTGCTGAAACTGCAGCATAAAATATAAGCAATAAAAGTTAGCTTATTACTTATTTTGTAACTGCTTAATGAATTCAGCATTTCTAATTTAGTATTAAATATTCAGAATTAAACAATAATTTTATCAAACAGGCCCTTACACTACTACAGAACTGGCTTTACAGGACACTACACTTAAATCATTTTAAGGCATTAGAATAAAGGTGTAGTAATAAAGTACCTAACAATGCACTAACATATTACTACACTTGTATTGAACTTCTTGGAAACACGAGATATTAATATTATATGTATTTGGATTTTCTGAGGGCATAAAGATGAATAAAATATAATTTAATTAATGAGGATCGATAATGCCGAAAATGGCTCAATTTTAACGGACTTCAAATTGTGAGTGTTTGACTTTATCTTAAACTCAACAAGAAAAAAAAAGAAGAAAAAAACAAAAACTTAAACTTCCAAAAGTTTCATGCGCTAGTTATTTCTTATCCCCAATTGATTGGCAAACAACCCTAGACGTGTCGTTGATGAATCCAAACAACATATCCCTGGCATCCTTGTTGTTGTAATCGCTATCTTTACTTGTGATTTATTTGTTCGGCTAACGGGAGAATTTACGGTTCACCAGTGTTGTTCATTTATCTCGGCCCGTTTTAGATCTAGTTAGTTTTGCCAGCGGTAATCATTTGTTATCAGGTAATGTCACCCTTTCTTCACCCTAATTTCTTTCATTTTCGTTTTCTTTCATTTTTAAGTAGGCAATTTTATTTAGAGGCTTGTATTTAAATGCACTTTTGCATATGCCGATAGGCTGCTGGATTGTCTTGGTCTCATATTGACAAGCAGAATATGCATAAATTAAGTGTAATCTTTTGTTCATCTATGAGGTTTGTACTTCCAAAGTTTAACTCTTGTGGCCGATTTTTGCTATTGCTCGGCACAATTTTCTTTGGTGTCTAATTCCTTTCAGAAAAAAATTGTCATTTTGTTTTTCAATTTAAATATAATAATGAACTTCTATATTCGTCATTGATTACAAAATTTTTATTTTCTCTCGCTGGTTCTCCTACCCTCTCTCTACTAGTGGCCGGAATTTTCACTTTCCAGTCTCGTTTCACGGTCTCATGACCGATGAACAAGCCGAGGAGCTCCCCACTGGACCTCCTCGCACATTTGCGAGTTTTTTTCCAAAAGCCAATAGACACTCCTTCGTCTAAAGGCTCATTAGTGAAGGAAGTCCGATTCGTTAATGGTGTTCCCGTTTTGGAGTATGAAGAAGATGAATATGATCAATTGGTAGCCCCACACCAATTGAGTCTAATCGAGAAGTTTTCCTATGGTCGACCAAAAATGGAAGAGGTCCACAAAGAATTCAAGAAGCTAGGGTTCCATGGAGGCTATACTCTTGGCCTAGGCATGTCCTGATTCGCGTTGAAAGGGAAGAGGTTATCAAAGATGATGGATTAAAGCATTTTGGAACATTGCCGGATTCTCTATGAGAATTTTGAAATGGAGGCCGGGTTTCAAATTTGAGGAAGATCCCCCCATTGTCCCAATCTGGGTCTCCCTTTTTGATCTCCCGATTGAATTTCTCAATCCGGAGGTAATTTTTTCAATGGCAACCGCGATTGGGAAGCCATTGATGGTGGATGCGCCTACTCTCAACATGACAAGGCCTTCGGTAGCGCGTTTTTGTGTTGAAGTTGACCTTACAAAAGAGTTCCCAAAATCTGTGAAGGTGGGAAAGAAAGGTAAGAAGCATGATCAGATTTTCACCTACGAACACATTTCGGCTTATTGTACTAAGTGTAATAAGATCCGGCACAAGAAAGAGGATTGTCGGGCTGGCCTCCAACAAGAAGAAAAAGGCTCTGGTGAAGATTGTTGATAGAGCCAAAACGAAGGAGCCTTCGCATGTTAATGCCGCAAAGCCACAGGAGAAGTCTGCTTCAAACCCTAGCGCGCAGGAGAAAGCCGCGACTAAGTAGGATGTGACAAACCCTAGTGCGCAAGGCGGGGCTGCGTCTGCTTCTGTTGCTGCTACAGACCGACCATCATCGTCTGGACTTTCTGCTAAGGAGAAGAAGATGATTCTGGTTGATGTGGATGATACTACAGCAGAAGATCAATCCAAAGAGGCTTCCCGTTTACCGGATTCTCCCCTGCAATCCAAGGAACCAGGTAGCGCGCCAAACCCTAGCGCGCAGGCCGTTGAGGAGAAGAACAGGTATTCGGTTTTGCCTACGATTCTGGAGATTGATGATGAAATAGGATCAGATGAAGAGTTTATTGAATGAGTTTCTGTGGAAGACTCCTCAAATAAGGAAGTAGAGGAAATATGTCGGGTTGATGATCATGTTGAATCGCATGTTTTAGTGCTGATGTCTTTGACGAAGACTCCTCATATTTTTTCTGATGATGGTGACATCGGATTGCATGGAGCTGGTTTGGATAATGATACGGGAAGCTGGTCTGAGGGTGAGAAAGATGAGGTCCTGGTGCATGGGGACGTCCGGAGAGATTTTACGGTTACAAAGAAACGTGGTCGCAAGTCCAAGGAGGAGCGTGCTAGATCACAGGTGGGTTTGGTGCTGCAGCGCTCAGCCCACTTAAACTGATTTCTCTATGATTTTCTTATCCAATGTTAAACCAAATAATATGGAATATCCGAGGCATAAAAAAACCAGGCGTCCCAAAGGTGTTTCAGGTGTTTGCTTCGGGTTTATAATGTTCGGGTTCTGGTTATTTTGGAGCCTATGCTTCAGGTTGATAAGTTAGATGAAATAAAGCGTGAGCTTGCTTTTGATACTGCTTTCTCCTCAAATAACAGCAAAATATGGTTTTTTTGCAAATCTGAAATTCAAGCTTCTTTGTTGAGTGATGATGATCAAGTGCTGCACTTTGAAATTAAGCATCCTCTAGTGTCTCGGTCTTATTTCTTGTCGGTTGTGTATGCTAAATCGACAAGGGCTAGGAGACGTGAACTTTGGCAACGTTTGGAAGGGTTTAAATGTAATAATATGGGTGCTCCATGGATGGTATGTGGGGACTTTAATGTTATTAGATGCTTGGAGGAATACAGTAGTGTCTCGGTGCAGGACCATTCGGCCATAGAGGATTTCAATATGTGTATTCAGGCTTGCAATTTGCTAGAGACTCCAGCTGTTGGCGAGGACTTTACTTGGGGTGGAACAAGGCAAACAGGTTGGGTGAGTAAAAAATTAGATAGAGTCCTTTTCTCGGATGAATGGCTGGATTTCTTTCAAGTTAATTCCATTGAGAATTTGAGTAGGACATCGTCCGATCACAGCCCGATGCTACATATGTTTGGAGTGCAAGGAGTTTCCAAGCCTAGAGTTTTTCGGTTTCATCAAATGTGGCTGTGAAGATCGGAGTTTCTTTCAGTAGTCAAGGAGAATTGGGAGCAGCCTATAGAGGGTTTTGGAATGATAGCTTTCTCTCTTAAATTGAGAAGGCTAAAAATCAAGCTTAAAGAGTGGAATAAATCGTGTTTTGTTGATGTCTTCGTCAACTTGAAGGAAGCGGAAGCAAAGGTGCAACACCTAGAAAATCTTCATGGTCTATCCGGCTTGGAGGGTGACAGAATGAACTTGCATAATGCAAAGGCTTTGCTGCTGTTGAGACTTAAAGAGCATGAGGATTTTCTAAGACAAAATGCACGAATTAGGTGGTTGAAAGAGGGTGATGCTAACACCTCCTACTTTCATGCTTCTCTAAGAGAAAAACGGCCGAGACAAAATATCCATAAAATTTAGGATCGACAAGGAATCATGCTAACGGATATGAATGCCATTGAACAAGAAGCTGCAGGTTTCTTTGAGGATCTTTTGCGTGAGGATGCTGCCTATAGCTCTTCGCATGAGGCCGCACATGAGGTATTCTTGCAACACATCCCGGTTATTTTGGGGGCTGATGACCATGACCTTCTCTTGCGCCCCATCTCACTTGAGGAAGTCAAAGAAGCTGTCTTTAATCTGAATGAAGAAAGTGCTCCGGGAGTTGACGGATTCACTGGTGCTTTTTACCGAAGTTGTTGGAATGTCATCTCAGATGATCTTTGGTCCGCATGCAAGGAATTTATGCTTGGGCTGCCAATTCCACGAGCTATTGCTAGTACATTGATTACCTTGCTCCCAAAAAAGAAGACTATAAGTACTTTTTCAGATTTTCGCCCTATTAGTCTTTGCAATTTTCTCAACTAGATTTTTACCAAAATTTTGACTGAGCGCTTGAAGGTGGTGTTACCAAAAATTATTTCTGAGGAACAATCAGTTTTTCTGTCTGGTAGGGACATCATTGATAATGTTCTGTTGGCACATGATCTTTGCCAGTTCATAAATCGCAAGGCGGAGGGAGGTAATATTGTTTTGAAAATTGATATGATGAAAGCATTTGATAGGGTTAAGTGGAACTTCCTTGAATCTATTTTACTGAAGTTTGGTTTTCCACCACTTTTTGTAAAATTAGTCATGAATAACCTTCAGAACAGTTGGTTTTCTGTGTTGATAAATGGTAGTCCTGCTGGCTTTTTTAAAGCTCCCCGGGGAATTAAGCAAGGGGATCCGTTGTCGCCTTACTTGTTTATCATTGTTTCGGAGGCTTTAACTAGAAGATTGAAAGCTCTAGTTTTGGACGGTAAGATTGCTCCTTATGGATCTCTTGCGGGTTTACTTGTGGTCTCACACTTGTGTTTTGCCGATGATTTGATTATTTTTACGAAGGGGACTCAAAGATCTTTACGAAGGCTAAATTCTTTCTTTGAGCAATATGAAAAAGCTACAGGTCAAAAAATCAGTAGGGGTAAAAGCTCTTTCGTGGCTTCGGAGAAGTGTAGTTCAAGAAGAATTGAAATGATCAAAGATACATTGGGAATGCAACGTGGCGCGTTTCCCTTCACATATTTGGGATGCCGGATTTTTAATGGAAGGAAAAAGGCGGCTATATTCCAATTTCTCTTGGATGCTATGGATGCTAAGCTCCTGAATTGGAAAAACAAGTTTTTATCTCCGGGAGGCCGACTCATGCTCATTCGGTATGTTTTGAGTTCTATGCCACTTCATGTATTTTCAGCAATCCCACCACCTAAGTCGATCATTAGGGATATGGAAGCTCACTGCCAAAAGTTTCTTTGGGAAGGATCAAGCGAGGTTAAGAAGAGGCATTGGCGCTCTTGGGAAAGAGTCACTTTTCCCGTTCAAGAAAATGGCCTTGGGTTGAGAAGCTTTGATGATGTTATCTCTGCCTTACTTCTAAATTATGGTGGAAATTTAAGAACAACAAAGGGCATTTGGAGTGTCTTTCTTCACTCTTTGTCTCATTCGGCTAAGGAAAAGACCTCTTGGGCTAGAGTAATGAAAGTTGGTGAGCGAGCTATAAATTTTTCTAAGATTATTGTACGAAGTGATGATCGATTTTTGGTATGATAATTAGGGCCCCAATGGTGTCTTTTGGGTTAATGCATTTGATAAGCCTCCATGGCCGGACCTTTGCATTCGAGAATTTCTGGAGAATAAAGACCTTTATGTACCGGCTTCACAAGGTTCCCTCAGTCCAGCAAACTTTCCCTTCTTGAAAAGTTTTGATATGGATTTTATGGAGGGTGATGATATTCTTGTTTGGCAAAGTACTCCTCAAGGGCAATTTACGGTCAAATCCGCTTTCGAGTCCCTTCGACGGAGGCAGCAACCAGATTTGATGCTTAAGCCTTTGTGGCACAAGTTTGTTCCTTCGCGCATCTCTTTCTTCCTCTAGAGATTGCGCAATGGTTTGCTTCCATTTCCTGAAATTGTTAGTGCCTTTGGTATATTAACAAGGCCTTCTATGTGTCTCTTTTGCAGAAACAAAAGTGATGATTTGCATCATTGCTTTTATGGTTGTAATTTTATTACAGCTATACGGGATCACTTTGCTCTTGTTATGAGTGTAGAAGTTCGGGGACATAGCACTTTGTTGGGTCTCTTGAAGAGATGGTGGCGCCATGGATCTTTCACATCAGCGAAAAATTCTTTGTATTACTTATTCCCCATCTTTATTCTTTGGGAAGTTTGGAAGGCAAGAAATAAGGCAATCTTCGAAGGAGTTCAGACCTCTTTAACCTCAGTCATTCACTTAATCCATCATCAGGTTAAAGACTTAATTTTCATTCATGGTTTAAAAGTAGTTGGTGATGCTGAAAATTATTTTATTTTAAGTCTTTTTGGATTTCACTTGACTCGAGCTAATAAAAGGAATCCTAAAGTAGTAAGATGGATTCCCCCAGATTCGAACTGTTTTGTTTTGAATTCAGATGGTGCATCTAATGCTAATGGAGCAGGTTATGGTTTTGTCATCCGAGGAGAAGGTGGTAATTTCATTTATGGAGAAAGTGGATACTTGGGTGATGGAGATTTTCTCCAAGCAGAAAGTTTTGGTATTCTATTTGGACTTCACAGGTGCGAGCTCCTACAACTTTCAAATATTAGGGTACAAACTGATAATCATTCTCTGGCTTGCATTCTGAATGAGAAGAGAGGATTTCCATGGCGATTTCATTTGAAGTTGATTGAGATGTGTTCTGTCATCTTAAGGAATAATTTCTTGGTCTCTCATATTTACAGGGAAGGCAATGCAGTTGTAGACTCTTTAGCTAAACAAGCATTAAGTGGAATATCTAATACTTGTATTAGTTTTGTATCACTGTCTAGTTTTGTAAAGGGGCTTTTGATATTAGATCAATTGTCCTTTCCATATTTACAAAAGTAGCTTCTATGACCTTGTACAAGGGTGAGACATAAACACTGCCCCCTTTTTTCCACATCTTAATAAAATCAGGGAAGGGTGAAACTAGGGAACTATATAGTATAAATGTCCATCCTTGGGTAGACCCCTTGGGTGCATTGTACTATATAGCATTGCATATCTCAAAAATTTACCCCCTGGATAGACCCCTTGAGTTTTTTTGAGATAGTTGGAACCTGAATGTCACCCTTGCCTTCCTGTTGAGTTAAAAAAAAAAGTGTTTGATTCTATTGGTCATTGTTTTTGTGATTTCTAGCACGTTGTTCACCAATAAATGTATTGTTAGATTGCTGAATGATTGTTTGCGTAATGGTACATTAATTTGATTTAGTTAGTGATTTGTTCTGCACCCTTTTGCAGCCTTCTTGTAGAAGAGAAATAGAAAGACATAATGAAATTCCTGCGTTCATTGAGACATTTCAGAAGGAAAAGTGAAAAAAAGAAAGATTTTTCAGCTATGGAAAATCGATGAAGAGACTTGGTGAATGGAAGAATACAATCAAGAAATGATTCCAGTCAAGTTTTAGCCATTTTAAACATCATGTGTTCTTTTATAGTTGGTAGAAGATTGAGTAATTGATATATAATTTTTAGGTGTACTATTGCAAATTCTTCTTCCATTTATCTTATTTTTATTAATATTGGTTGTAATTTCTTTTAATTTTATTATTATCATAATAAAAATTTATTTTTGTTGAAAACAATTTTCCTTTGTTGAAAGTATTTATGATCAAATAATTCGTGTTTTTATTTTTATAATAATTATTGATGCTCAAGAATAAATAAATGATGTGATAACTAGTTTGTTAAGGCATTTAAAATGCCTCTATGATATTTCGTCAAGGCTCTTTAAGTGCCTTTAAAAGTTATATGTTGTCACATTTTGTAAATGCCATTAAAAACTATGTATGATTACACTAATTCTATAGTCACATTGAAATTAAAGGCATTTTTTACAAATTCCTTAATAGGTTAAAGTGTGTTAAGAGTCCATATATTGTGGCATTTTTGAGTGTCTCTAAGCCCTTTTTTAGTAGTGTTAGTCAAGTTATTCCGTCACTTGCTCAAGTGATAGTTAGCAGTTTATTTTCCTTTTTGTTTTTAATTGTTGAAGCATTTAGGGTTATTAGAGTTTCACTCGTCCCTATGGGATCGATCCTACTTATCACTTGCTACATGTTTTAAGTAGGTTATATTTGGTGGACTCGACACCCATCACTCGTGCAGCTTGTCGTATATGTCGATTAATGGTGTCTGATTCGTGAAATCTCTCAGCAAGTACTCGTTGCTTGTGTTGTGACTTGTTAAACATAAAAACATAAATATGGATTCTGTAACACATATTTTTTATTGGGAGGAGGGGGGGGGGGATATCATTCGATATAGCCACCGTCTCATAGAACCTAACAAAATCGCTTAAATGTAATAACATACATTCTACAGTTTTTAAATATCCGTTGATGGTTGCCTATTAATAATTCTTAAACTCATTGTCGGCTAGTGAGTGATGAATTACAACAACACATCATTCATATTTCTTCCCTATCTCTCTCATCCACCTAAATATTATAATCATATCAACTAACTCGTCGAGCTCATCTTCATCTTAATCAACTATTTCATAGCTTCTAGGAAATAAATTTGGAAATATTCCATATCCTGCCATGTTGGTAGAACCTAAAGAGATGCAGTTAGCAACAATTAGTTCGAAAAAAAAAAGTATATAATGGGTGCAATCTTCAAAGTTGCTAGCTTCCACCACTTTGTGTGTTTATAGAACGGATGCAAATTTAAAGGTTCATTATCTAGACAAATAGTATCTCATATTGGCCTATAAGACAACTCATAGGCATGATTTGAAACCATAAAATTTCAACACAGTTTTCAAAATAACATTGACAAGTGAAGCACCAAAAGATGGTAGCAAATACTGGGGAAAAATGTGTATATGGTGGAGGGAAAACAAATTTAAACCAAATAGTAGAGTAACAAAAACATAGAGCTAGGAGGTAAGGCAGTAACAGGTGTTTTAGGTACTACTCGATATTATTGCAAATTGCTAGATCATTGACAATTTTAGATATAAAAGCCGCGTACCAATTTTCAAGGATTAACAAACTTAGAAGATTTGAAATATTCATGCCATTGAAACATTTATGCTATATAAAGTAGATTTTTGGTTTTATTTTACTCATCCAAGGCTAGCTCATACTCTGAGTTTTTGATAAGTTTCAAGTCTCAATATCATGTCCTGATTGATTTTTTTTTTTTTTATATAACAAAGAAATTTTATGTTTTGTAAATATTACAATATGGACAAAATTTGCACCCTGTAAAATGAGATAAAAACTCATTATTATTATATAACAAAATGAGATATTGTGATGGCCCATTTGAGTGTTTTTAGATTTGGCAATGTGGACAAATTATGCTCTTGTCCAAATGAGTTGAAAAATGCATTATGACTCTGCAGAAAATTCAGGCACTATTATGGATTATGCATGTTCCTGTCACTCCTAAAAGCATAATGATGGAACCAAATCACTAAATGGTGACAAAAACCAACGCCAACGTCGGTATTATTAATGGCACCAAATTGGGGATCATGAACAACTTGTTCATGATCCCCAATTTGGTGCCTGATTTTTTTATTATTTCTTTTACTTTAGTTAACTTGCGTTTTTTATAATACAACCCCTGTAAATTAATTATGTGCATAATATTAATGAAGTTTTTTTTTTCAAGGGCGGTACCTGACAGGAGGACCTCGATTTAAAAAATAAGAGTACTTAGGGCAGTCTTTAAGACTTATCCAATTGGAAACAGAACTGTCTTACAAAAGTTTTTCTAAAAGCTCTATGACAGTTTCAAAACAAATTACCACTAAGTAACTGCCTTACATAGATTCGCTACCCTCTCATGGCAATCCTATTTTTTACAATTAAGCTAAGAGTTATCTTACAAGGATTAGACTATATATCCCATGATAGCTTTGTAAAAAATTCCCAAAGAGAAAATATCTCAAGCTATTACAAAGTCCTTCGACGCTTACCCCTCGTACCATTTTATTTTATTTTTGATAAAAAAGGACAGCCCCTGAGTTTTATTGATTTTAAGGAAAGACGCCAAGGACAGTGCATCAAACTAATCCTTGGTAGTTACAGAGACAAACCAAAATTAAATTTTAGCAACAGCGACTGCCTATCGAATACAATGAAAACAGCTATGCTATTCGAACTCGAATATATGGAAAGGACCGTTGATGATCACTAGTCCCTTTGTATCAAGTGGAAGATCATGCATAGTCCGAAAAGTCTTGCAATTGCCATCTGAATCTTTCTTTGCTAAACTATCAGCAACAACATTAGCTTCGGAATAAAGATGCTTAATAGAAAAGGATCGTCTCTCCAAAATTGCCCGAATCTCTAGCAAGGGAGAAAAGTACCTCCAAGGATAATGACGACCCTTGTGCAAGATGTCCACTAAGACCTTGTTATTAGTCTGAACAAGAACTGGATGCAAGCCCAAAAACTCACATTTCCTCAAACCAAATAACAACCCTGCAACTTCCGCCTCAAGACTATCGCCATCTCCTAGAAAACCAAGTTCACCATGAACAAAAACACCTCCACCTCCACATACGATAAATCAGTAGCCAGCCCCGTGTCTTATTGAAGAACCATCCGTATTTAATATGAAAGAATTAGGCTCAGGCGGCTTCCAATGCACAGGAATATAAGTCCTCCTTAAAATGTTACCATTCTGGACATGAAAATGCCGCTCCAAGAAATCTACTTCCTCCATCGATCTACTCGGCACCGCATGACCCTCAAAATGTCAAAAACTTCATTGGAAATCTGCCGGAGAAGCATGTGATCTGAAAAGGCCAATTCCTCAAACAAAATTTTATTAAGCAGTTTCCACAATCCCCAAATACTCAAGGAAAGAACCAAGATATACAAAGTCATCAAGGCTATGGAGAAGCTGCCCTTGTGCCACCATGCTAACAAAGCTTGATCAATATTTTGTGCATCATGCATGCGAATATCAAAGAGTTGGGCAAAAAACTCCACACCCTTTTTGAAAAAGAGCAAGCAAAGAAGCAATGTTGTATGCCATCATCATGATCTTACAAAATAAACAAATAGAAGGATAAACCGCCAAGCCAAACCTGCGCAAAGTCTCCGGGAATGGCATTAACACATTGTGCAGCTTCCACATGAATAGAGAAATTCTCATGGGAAGCCGGTGATTCCATACATTTATCAAAACAGGCTCTACGGCTCAATGCAAACATACCATAAGACTCCAATGATTCCTCCCAACTTGCGCGAACCACATCCTGAAATTCAGTATGCCTTAGCCACATGTTTTGAAAGCGGAATAATTTGGGTTTACTGGACATTTGAGGCGCAAACTGATGTAAAAGCAGGCAATGATATGAAGTTGTTCTATTGAGATGTTCAACAGAAGAGATAGGAAAAAGGCTGCCCCATTCACTTGAAAACAAAACCCTATCAAGCTTTTCACTCACTCAGCCCATTCGCCTTGTACCTCCCCCTGTAAACTCTTCACCAATGGACGGAAGCTCAAAAAGCTCATAACTATCAATCTAGTTATTAAACTCCTCAATCGCAATGTGATCCTGAACTGAAGACCCCAAATACTCAATGGATCGAATCACATTAAAATCACCAGCAACCATCCAAGGAACATTACCACCTCACGGCCGGAATTCCACCAAATTCGACCAAAGAACTTGCCTTGCGTGCCTAGTAGATTTCTCATAAACAGCAGAAACAAAAAGTCTCCGTGATAGAACCGCATTGAATTTCCATGTAAAGCACCTGCTCATTATTTTCCAAAATTGATATCCTATACTCATTCTGACAAAAACTCCATATCTTAATCATACAAGAAGAAAAACCTTTATCAAAAGCCAATTCTCTACGAATCTCCTCAATTTTATGAGTCCGCAATATAGGCTCTAATACAATTAAAAAAGAAACCCTATGCAATCTTTTCAACACTTTCAATCGTCTTTGCGAGGCGCGACTTTTTATGCCTCGTATATTCCAAATAATTTGACTAAACATTGGAAGAAGAATTTTCACTTAGACAGATTGAGCGCCTCGACACCAACCCCGCCTGTAATTTTAGTCGCTCCGCCTTAGTTTTCCGTCCCCGTTTCCCCTTTACCGTTAGCGCACCTTTCTTTGATTGCTCAACCAATGCATCCTCCTTTTCCCCCTCCGACCAGTGACCACTGCTGCCCGTTCAGTTCATCATCAGAATCATCCTCATGATGGTACTCCACTTGTGTATCCTCCTGAACAATTATTTTTCCAGCTGAATCAAGCGACGCAACCGGCAAACTTCTTTCATCAATCGAAGCAACTGAGGCATGGACTTTTTTCTCCTGAGTTAGCAATGGAGCCTCAGAGAAAACCTCTTCAACTTCATCTTCATATTCCACAATAGTTTCTAAAGCAGAAAAACGATTAGATTGCTTAGGTGCATCGCAATCTGATATGACAGTGCACTGTCTAGAGACATAGACAACGCAATGTGATGTTCATCAGTCGCAACATCATCCGCAGTGGCTATAGTCAAATCCACCACCCTCACTGCTTCTTCCATGACATCAACAGGGATCAAAGCTTTCTTTGTTGTGGTTAAGCCTTAGGTGGAGACGACATTATCCTCCAGTTGAACCGTTCCCTCCTTCAACGTTCCACCCACTTGCGGCTTCCACTTAGGTTTTGGGGTTTTCATTACAATTCCTTTCCCTTTTTTACCCGGATCAGAAACCTTCACAACTTCATTCTGTTTAACCACAAGAAACGGTTGAGGAGCCAATTCCTTCTTGCACTCTTCCTTTTTATGGCCGATTTTGCTACACTTCGAGCGATACGAAGGTATATGCTCATAAGTAAAGTGTTGCTCATGCTTCCTTCCCTTCTTCCCAATTCGAACAAATTTTGGGAATTCCTTGGTCAGATCTGCCTCCACACAGAATCTTGCAACGGATGGTCGTGTCATATTCAAAGTCGGAGCGTCAACCTTGAGTGGTTTCCCGATGGCAGTCGCCATGGAGAAGATAACCTCCGGGTTGTGAGATATTCAATCGGAAGATCATATAATGATACCCAAATCAGAACAATTGGCGGGTCTTCTTTATATTTGAACCCCGGAGTCCACTTCAATATGTGCATAGAATAACAAGCAACGTTCCAAAAAGTTCAAATCCAGCACTTTTGATAATCTTCTTCCCTATCAAAACGGATAAGTATATGTCCAGGGTTCATCAACCCAATTTTGTAGCTTCCCTGAAACTCAATCTTCCAAAATTCCTTATGAATTTCATCCATCTTAGGCCTTCCATAGGAGAACTTCCCTACCAAACTCAGACGATGCGGTGCCACAAGCCGGTCAAATTCATTGTCTTCAAATTCCAACACCGGCACCCCATCAACAAATTTGTCCAGCTTGATGAGAGAGGGCTTCGGCCGTTCATGTTTTGCTGACTACTGGAAAAAGCTTGGAAAAGACCGAGGGGGTCCAGTGAGAGAGAGAGAGTCGAGAGAGAGTGTTTTTTTACTTAGAAAAATTCCCCTCTTACCATTTTATGCGTAGATATGGTGTAGAATTGTAGATTGTTGGTCAAGTAATAATAATCCACAAGTGAATGTAGAGAACTAAGAGCGATGTGAATATGTGAAAGATCTTCCTAATGACGCTATTTTAGCCAAAGAATCAGCTATAGCATTTACCTCCCGATATATATACATGTATACAAGTATAAGCATTTCTAGCCAATAAAGACTTAATTTCTTGCAAGGTTGTCTTATTTTTCCTAGGACAAGACGAATTGATTTGGATAAAGTCTACGAAGGCTTTATTATCCAATCTTACTTGGACATGTTGTATTTGCAACTCTTCGCATTTTCGAGCCCCTATCAGCATTGCTTCGGCTTTGACCTCAAAACTTGTACGAGGACCTAAGTGCATACTTTCCGCAACACTTGGATTATATATACTATTTATATATCCTGAACCACCTTCACCGTGAGCTCCATGTGAGGATCCATCAATGTTAAGTGCATAAGAACCTCTTGGCGCGAAGTTCATTTGATTACTTTGATTGTTTTTTCCTTCGGATTCGCCAATTTGACATTGAAAAATTCTTGAAGAAACTTGTGGTCTGAAATAGTTCTAACTTTCAAAACATGCACTTTTAGAAGATTAGAAATATGATCTCAAATGAGGAATAAAATAGTTTTAGCATTAAAATGAGTTCCCTCATATATGAAACTATTTCTAGGCTTCCATAATTCCCAAAGTATAAAAGAAGGTATCGCTAGAATGATTGAAGATAATGATGAAGAAAAGTTACCAGGCTGATACCAGGAATTTAAGAAAGCTTTTAAACCTGAAACCCGAGGCAATGACAAACCAAGAATTGCAACAAAATAGTCCCAAATTTGACGAGAGTGTTGACATAGATTAAAAACGTATTGTATGAACTCGCTTTCAGATTTGCAGAAGGGACATTGTGAAGGATAGGCACATAATCCAATCTTTGTAAGTTCTGCTGCAAAAGGAAGAAGATTATTTAGTAGCTTCAAGGGTAAATAAGATATTCTAAGAGGAACAAGCTTATTCCAAATAAACCTTGAGAAGGAAAATTGGGTGTGAGACTCCTTGTTTAAATGATAACCTGAAGGAATTGTAAAGTCTCTTGCAGTGATCGGCTTCCAAACATAGACGTCTTTGTCGTCGGTAAAATTATAAACTTTATAAGTCCAACTTTAATTGATTTAACTTATCTCATGTGTATTATTCAAAATTTAAATTATAACCGTACAAAAACAAATATAAATAGAAATTTGAACATGTGATACAAAAAAACACTAATTATATAAACACAATAAATATGAGATAATTAAACAAAAAAACTCATACGTTGATATTAATAAATAGAAATACAACTGAATGCAAAAAAAAAAGAAAGGAAAATTATTTGCACACAAACGAAAACATATACGAACCCCCTCCAAAAAAAGCTTCACACGTTGATTGAAAAAAAACTAATGATAATAATTTGGGAGATCAGTTTCCACCAATAGTAGCAAATACTTCACCAAAAATAGTGTTTGGTGCTTGTGGTTGTTGTTGGCTCTGTTGTATTCTTTCTTGCATAATTCATTGTTCGCTTTCAATAAAAGCACGATATCTAAGATCTGTTATTTGGGTCGGGTCTTTTTCCAAGATTTTATTTCCTTTTATCCATTTCTTTGCAGTCAATTTTTGCATATGAATTTCCATCTTTTCGTCATGTCTTGCATTACAATTGACTCAATGTGAGTTTTGTAAGATCTCAACGAGCTGTTGATTTGTTTTTTTGAAATTTTGCAACTCTAAAGATGATAGTTCCTCTATTTTTGTCTTATTTTTGCCTTTTCACACTAATAGGTCTTTTAGATGAAGATTCGCATACATCACTGTCACCTAAGTCAGAAAATCAAACGATTAGGGTATTGGAGATTTATGTACCTGAGATTCGGGCATTAGATTATCGAATTCTAAGGAAGTACTTCTATTTTATTTGTGCCTTGCTGCAATAATATCATCATTATATTGTCATGCGAGATTATTTCCATCATGACTGTAGTTGGCTCCTGGACGAATACTTTGGGCTATTTTTGTTTCTGCTTCATTCTTATGTCTTAACATTCTCGAGCTTCCTGGAATGTGGTATTAAACAAAGAGCATTTTTAGATGAGTTTCTTAGTGCAACAGAGCTATTTATCTTTATCTTATACATGTTTAGTTTTTAGGCTACTTTTAGTTTGATTTACTTTATAAAATTTCATCTTTATTTGTGAAAAAGTCTCCTCCAATGCCAAATTCTTGTCAATTGGTTTAAATGAGAGGCATTTCATTTCCACCAGTTCAAGGTAATGTTGAAAATTTGATGATCCCATTTACTCTATAGAATGTTGTGGGATCAACAATAGAGTTGATGTAGAATACAGATACGAAGTTCTCTTCTTTTGATGAGAACTTAAACATATCATATGTAATCAAAACTGTAGTATCCGACTTAAAGAACATGATAAAAATTCCATTGTCTGCAGTGGTCTTGTCATTTCATGGTTCCTTTGTGAATTGTTCAGTTAGATAAATCCGACCACAAAAAACCCGAGTTTGGGATTTGAGCTTTATCTTGCATTGAAGTCTTTAGTCAATGAAACCTGTTAATCTGAACCAAGTGTTCTCTTTTAGTAACTATTGCATATGTGGAGCAATCATTTACATATAAAAAGATGGTAAGCAGGTTAGGATCTCTCTTTGATAAAATAGTTGCAACTACAGGCTTTTGGACCTAGTGTTTGCTGTATAGATAGTGTCATGCTTGATATTATTTTTGTCCTGTAGCATTCCATGGGACTTACACACTTACACTTATTTTTTCTCAAATTTTTCCTTTGTTACTGCTTTCTATATCAATGGCTGCTATTCGACCCTTTGCAGCTGTATGTGATGAAATATCAAAGAATCCATGTTGCTATAGAAGTTTATTAAGCTTACAAAAATAGAGGTCTTGTGAAAACTAGAAGTTTTGGAAAATTTTTTGCATTTTTTGGTTTCATAGATCTTCTGATCTCTTTCATGGAGAAGATGCTTTAGAACATTTTTTGTTGTTTGTTTTTTTGGACTTTTCAGGTCTATTATTTGGTCTTCTTTTTTTTGTGACTTTTATCATTTAGGCTTTGAATCTGTGTTAAGCTTTCCGTGAAGAAAGGCACTGCTGCTAAGAAGCCGGTGAAGAAGGGAAAAGCTGCAAAGGATCCCAACAAGCCCAAGAGTTCACCTTCTCTAATTTCTCAATTCTTTTTATTCTTCCATGTGTTTTGTATTTGTTTCACCAATATTTAGATCCTTTTCCTTTTTCTGTGCTGTAACCAACAACGTATGTCTGCAAATGTTTTAAGTTTTTTATTTGAAAATCTGATTTCAACGCATTGGTACATTTGCAGGGATGAATTCAAGAGGTTTTACAAGGAGATGCACCCAAACAACAGTTCTGTTGCCACTGTGAGTTATTTACTGTTAATTTGGGTTTTTGGTTTGATATTCTAGTCAAAAAACCTTGATATGTTTGGTTGCTAGTGACAATTGAATTTTTTTCTCGATTGATTCAGGTCGATAAACTGGTAGAGAAAAGTGGAATTCGATGTTGGATGCTGTATGTATACATATATTTTTCATGGCTTGTAATTAGTTCAGTAAGTCATATCATTTCTCACTAAATTTGCACTCTGGTGGTGCTGTGGGAGAAAGTCCCTTTCCGAGCAAAGGCTAACAAGAGGGAGGTTGAGTACGAGAAGGAACTTCAGGCATATAATGAGAGACTTGTAAGCAGTTTAAACCACCTTGAGATTCTTTTGTTGAAATTACTATTTTCTAACAGAATGAATCTTAAATTCATTCTAATTGATTCCTCCAACAGGCTGATGGTCTTGGCCCTGATGATGAAGATTTTGATAAGTCAAGGTCCAAAGTGAAAGATGATGAGGACGATGATGAAGGCAGCGGACATGCATGAACCTCTTGGATGATTAAATATTGAAGATAATACCCCATATACTCTGGTTAAATTGAAGTTTTTAGTGGCTAATTAAATGGTTTTGCTTTTATAAAATGGTGACGGGAGGATGATGATGATGATGACTGATGAGTAGGAACCTCTACAGGATATGCAATGATTAGTGGACCGTTCTTTCGTTCCTTTGGGTTTATTAGACCACTTGTTATGGCCCATGTAGATAGTCTTTTTTTTTATATGGTGGTTCATTTGAATGTAGTTTGGAAGGAAGAACTTAACATAACTTTTGTGGTTTCAATAGTCGTGGGTTGTTATGGCTCTTTGTATATCACACTGTACTTTGGAAATCCCATTTGGAATTGATCTTTAATCGTAGATTAATGATAATGTAGCTAGATACTTCTTCTGATCATAATTTTTATCTGTACCATTCAAATTTTATTGCAATACTTTGGAAATCCCATTTGGAATTGATTTTTTTTTTTTTGTTTTTGGTAAAAGGTGAATTATATTGCAATGCTTGTACTCCCTTACATGTACATCATTGTTCCATCATCCTATTCTATGACTATTTTCTTATTGTTGCTATACATCGATTCCTACTTGTGCTAAATATTTTAACTCACCTACTTTAAGCTTTTTCCAAGTATGTTGTATTCTCCATTCCAGCTCCCTTTTGATGCATCCTGTTCCGTCACCAACAGTTCTATTTTTCTGCTCAAATTTCATAGCAATGCTTCCCATCTTATTTTTTCCCACAGTGATGGAAATTATTACAGGAGCAAGATAGTGAGAATAACTTTGGGGATGGCTTTAAAATATTATAAAATGATAAAGACTCGAGCATATCTTATTAATGGTAAAATAATATTGTAAGATTTAGATTTATTTTTGTTTTTATTAAAAATATAAACTAGCCGCGCAACGCGCGACAATAGATAATCTATTATATAAAAATATTAGAAATAACTTTATTTTTAGGTAAATATACTAGGTCCGGTTGAAAAATCATTTTTCAAGAAAAACTCTCCTTTTAGGTTGTTCGATGTTTTATAAAAACTAGTGCTTGAGCATTTGTCGTGTGATGTGCGACGCCCCCTATAAATAATTTGGTGTAATTAATGTTTTTTTGGATTAACTTAATTTTGCTAATAAAAAACTCCATTAATAGTCTGAATCAAATACAATTCAGAATAAAATCCTATTGTTTCCTTTTGTATAAGATTTTCTTTTAATTGTAAAAGGATTATGAATCCTAATACACATCAGAATTTATCAAACCTTGAAAGATGTTTAGCTAAGATTCAATTTCCATGGAAATTTTAAAGAGGAATCGGGGGAATTAGAGTAGCTTGTTGTTGCTGATGATGTTTTTTCATGGTCATTGATAGCTGACAAGGGCTACTGAATTAAAATTTCCATTAAGGATTTGATCATTTGTTGTTGAAAGAGATTAGCTATTTGTAATTAGTGGAATATAATAAGCCACTTCAGTTAAATGATACCAATAAGTTCTTCTCTCAAGCATTTTATGGGAGGATTTTCACTCTCTTGCTTTTGTACATTTTTGCCCAATAGTTAGGTGCACATTCTTTGTCCAGTAGGTAAAGAATTGCTTGTGCGGGTCAAACTTAAGCAAAAACAGCAGCAAGAGAGTATTAAGTTAACTTGGTTGATCTTCTTTCAGTATGTAAGGAAACAAACAACGGAACTCTGGTTCACCACAGATTGCTGAAAATTCAAAACCGCAGAACTTTTCTTTTTTATTTAGAAATTGCTTGAGTTGAAAATGTTAAAAAAGAGGACGAAGAAGTAGAAGAGCCGCAATAATATTATCGATCAACATACAGTATATACTGAGCTAGAGTAAAGCATAAAATTAGCACAAACTAAACAGTAATAATAGATAATGATCACTACTTTCTATTAATGGCATTCATATATAGTAAGAATTCATTTGCAACCTCTTTTAGGAATTCTGAAATCTTATTACGGAAACATTATTTAGTAGTCAATGTCTCTGTCTGAGGAGCTGTCTGAAGAGGACTCTTGCCGCTGCTGTATGAGGATGAGGAGCTGTCGTTGTCGTCCACGGAGACGGAAGAATACTCTGAGGAAGAAGAGTATTCCGAAGAGGAGGAATAATGGCCATCTAGTAAGGTATCATCATCAGCAGTTGTTGCTGTTGGGGTTGTAGTGGGATCGAATAAAGTATCCACGAGTGCACAAAAGACTTGATAATCAACCATGAAAGTATACGAGGATTTATACTTTCATGTTTATATCTTACAAATCCACCATGTTTATGCTCACAAAAGACTTTCACTTGTGGTTGCAATAGCAACCATTTAATGATGATGGTTAAGGTAAAAGGATTTATGGAAATCGGTATAATGATAGTGATTCAACATTAAAATTTTTACCAACATTTGTTGGACATCTTCCTCGGGGTTTTCACGTTCCTAATGTCACTGTGAATAGTCCATTCCTCCATTATCTAATAGCCATGTGCATGGTTTGGCCGAAACCGGCCGGACTGATTTTATTCGGTAGTTTGGCCGGTTTGGAAAATTATTTAACGGCCGATGGCACAAATTTTTTCAAACCATATTATTTGGTTCGGTTACGGTTTGTGTTGGAAAATCGACTACTTGGTCCGGTGCACGGCTGATGTCACTGTGAATAGTCCATTCCTCCATTATCTAATAGGCCTGTGCATGGTTTGGCCGAAACTGGCCAAACCGGCCAGACCGATTTCATCCGGCCAATTTGGCCGGTTTGGAAAATTATTTAACGGCCGACGGCACAAATTTTTTCAAACCGTATTATTTGGTCCGGTTATGGTTTGTGTTGGAAAATCGATCATTTCAGCCGGACCGGATTGTTTATAGTTTATTTATAGTTTTTATGTCTATTTATATATTCTTTATATAACCCTTAAACAAAGAAAAGGTTGGCCTGGTGGTTTCAGTTTGGTAAATTTCCACCGAAGATCCAAGGTTCAAGCCTTCACGTGGGCTATCTTTTGATATTTTTATACTTTTTTTATATTTAACACAATATATTTTACAGCCTCAAATCCATTATCCTTATGTTTACAAAAATATAAACTCACTCTAATCTCTCTCCAAGACTCCAACGATGGCTGCTTGATGCTTTCCAGATCTGGCTGCCGATCAACTCTCTTCCAATCGCCTGCACCTTTTTTTCCCTTCTTTGTTAGCAAATATGTAACCTTATCCTAATTTTACAAAATCCTAATTTCTCCAACAATGACTTCTCAATTCTTCTCCAAGTCTTGCTGCTATTTAAAATTCTCTGCCAGTAGCTCGTCAATATTTACTTAAATTCATTGAACCATTTGAAGTAAGTAACACTAAGATGAAGCCTTTTATGCTTTAGCTACTATAACCTTGTTATATGACTTTTCTTCCCTCTGTTGCTACTTTCTATGCTTGATGTGTTTTCTCGTTCTAAAAATCATTGGGTTTAAGAAATTTAGCTCTGTTCTTGGTTATTTTGAGCACGACACATGATATTTGGAGTTGATAATGTATTAGGGTTAAATAGTTTGGATTTAATTGTCTAAATTAAGTTAGCTTTGTCCTTGAATTGCTAAGAATGAATTGGAAGTTCTTCTTTATAAGACTAAATTAGAATCGAAATGTTTTGGGGCAAAAAAGCCTGCAAACTTTTAATACTGTTGAAATAGAATTTATGCGCTTGTTAATAGCTGTAATGTATTTTTATTCCACTACAATGTGTTGCGAAGGTAATGTAGAATGAAAATATGATCCGGAATCAATGCTGTCGTGATTGTGGATATAAACTTGGCTTGTTTCTTGGGGATTTATTACATTTTTTTATTTTTTACTTTCTGATTTTTTGAACTACAGCTAAGTGTTATGTTTGGATCATGGATGTCGAAATGATTGATATCATCTCGGAAGTGGAAGGCAATAACAAGCCAATTGAGAAAGATATTGTGCCTAATAATCTTATCAAAGAGGGCTCTAGAAAGAAGAAGTTGACATCGGATGTATGTAACCACTTCAATATACCACCCAACAGCCCATCTCCAGATATTTGCACTTGTAAGTATTGCAACAAACCCTACAAGTAGGATCCAAGCAAGTGTGGTACTAGTAGCTTATGTTCATTTAGATACTCAGTGCAAAAAATACCCTATAGGTAAGAGAATGGAGGATAAAAGGCAGAGAACTCTTAAGTTTTCAACGAAATTGTAGTGGGGAGGGTGGAACTTTAACCTTGGTTGCTTTTACGAAAGAATTGGGTAAATAGGCTGTTATTAAATATGTTATTCTTGATGAGTTACCTTTTTCAGCTGTTGACAAACCTAGGTTAGTCTTACCTACCCGCTTTACAGTGGCAAGAAATGTGCTTAATTTTATCTAGAGAGAAAGAAAAGCTGAAAAAAATGCTTAGTGATTCATCCCAATGTGTTTTGCTCACAACGGATACATGGACATCAATCCAAAACATTACATGGTTCTAACTGCACATTTTATTGATGATAATTGGATTTTGCATAAGAAAATTCTTAACTTTGATGTAATTTCTAATCATAAAGGAGTCACAATTGGGAAAATGATTTAGTCATGTTTTCTTTCTTGGGGTATTGAGAGGGTTTTCACCATAACTGTGGATAATGCTAGTTCTAATGATACCGCTCTTGCCTATATTGAAAGAAAAATTCAGAACTGGAGGATATCAGTTTCAAATTGTAATTTTTTACATATGCGTTGTTGTGTGCACATATTGAATTTGGTTGTCACAGAAGGTTTGAAAGATTATGATAGTTTTATCTTAGTGATTAGGAATGCAATGAGATGTGTAAGGTCTTTACCTTCTAGATTAGCCAAATTTAATGAGTGTGTGGAGGAAGAAAAATTGGATCGTGGAAGTACTTGTTTAGATGTTCTTACAAGATGGAATTTAGGGCAGTATTTGACCGTGTGGATGACGAAGGGCAGTATACTCGATTTTTCACCCAAGGTACAAGCTTGATCCTAAGTTTGAAAGATCCCAAAGAGAAATTTGATTTAAATATATTTGGGCCACCTCTTAGTTATGATTGGAAATGACACAAAATTTTATGGAATTTCTTCAATTGTTTTATGAGTTGACAAAGCGGTTTTCAAGATTGTTGTATGGTACTTCAAATGGTTACTTTCACAACATGTGCTCAATGCATACTCACATTGTCGAATGCTAGAATAATGATAACGATAGGTTGAAAACCATGGCTGTGGGCATGAAAGAAAAGTTTGATAAATGTTGGGGAGATCCGGAGAAGATGAATCCCTTATTATTTGTTGCAGTGGTTCTTGGCCCCCGTTGCAAGTTAGAGTAGGTTAATTAGAGTTTGGAGGAGATGTACAAAGATGAGGGTGAAAGTGGGCTAGATGGTAATCTTGTAGTAAGATGAAGAAAAATGTGAAAAATGCTTATCTTTTTGATCATTATAAAACTAGTGCAGGGCCTTCTCAGCGTGATGATAGTTGTTCTATGTCAAATGTTAATACATGTGAAAGTGCTGGTCTGTTTGTGAGCCGTGACATACACAAGAGCCGAATGCAAAAATTCCGGAATTTCATGAAAATAGAAAATCAATGTGAAAAAAATTAATTGGAAAGATACTTGGAGGAGAGCAAAGAGAGTTTGGAAGAAAAATTTGATGTCTTGGCCCGGTGGAAAAGGAATGCATGCATAATCATAAACTATTGATTGTGTGAAAAGGCTTTTCTCTTTCCTCTCTCTCAGTGCACGTCGCTAAAGTGCGCCAACCATTGTGGGTCGAAAGAAGAAAGAAAAGCTGCATTGTCTAAGATTCAAGCAGGAGATGAAGCTACTCGCTGGGCAGAAAGTGGTGGCGAGACAGGTTGAGGAATTAGATAAACTAGTAGCTGAAATCGAAGGGGCTTCATCCCGAAATCGGTCAATTCCTTTGACGAAAGATCAATTGGCCACTCTAATGGTGGGAACTAGTGGGGTGAAAGAACAAACTTGGGAAGAATTGATTGTAGGAAGTGGTATTGGCAGCGGAAAGACAGCGGAGGAGTCTAGGGTTTAGGGGAAAGATGCCAAATGCCAACTTATGTGGTCTGAAAGGATTGAGGGTTTGGCTGAAAAAAAGGCTTGGGATAATTTGATCTGGATAAATAGCAAACTCCCTCTGGCAAGCTTCAATTTTTTCAACCAAGGACCAATGATGGATTGAATATTGGGAAGATTTGAGAAGAGGATGTGAAGACTAAAGAAGAATACTGGAATTCATCAATGGTCTGTTTCGTTTTGGGATCCAATCCCCCATTCTGGGTTATGGATGACTATGTCAGACGGAGATGGGGTCGATTCGGCATTGATAAGGTAATTTTATTACCAAGTGGATTATTTGTTTTTTGATTTCATACTTTGCATGCTAGAGAAGAGGTATTGAAGATAAATATCCATCAGTTTGGTTCCAGACCTTTGATAGTTTAGCCTTGGAATGTTGAAATGGGTGTTCATTATAAAGAAGTGGATAAGGTACATGTTTGTATTCAGCTACATGGTTTAGAGCTCAAGTATTGGAATTTAACTTCTCTAGGGATCCTTGCAAGTACAATTGGCACTCCAATAACTGCTGATGATTGTACTGTTAACAAGTCAAGAGTTCAATATTCTAGATTGTTAGTGGAAATGGAAATAAGCAAAATAGTGCCTGGCAAGCTAGTGTATAAGGATGAAAAAGGTATGGTTAGAATGCAAAAAGTTACTTATAAATGGTTGCCAGCTAAATGTTGTCATTGTAAAGGTTTTGGTCATTTGTTAGAGATGTTTAAGGAGAAGACTGAGAACGTCAAAAAGAGGCCAAAGGTTCCACAAACAGAATGGAAAAAGACTGATAGAGGAAAGATGCAAGAAGGCAACTCTGGTAATTCAGTGGGGATCACAGATACTAAGGGGGTCTCTATTGAGAATCCTCCCAAGGAGGCAACTCAAAAAGAGTCCATGTCTCAGGATCACCCTATGAATATTAGTGGTAGCAGTAAGGGGGGAGGAAATGTAGGGAAACGAGACAAAAACCCAGTCATCAAAGTTACTGAGGATGTAACTGTTGTGCATTCTCCTAGTGAGATAGCCAAAAAAGTTGTTGCATACTCTGAGGACAAGGTTAATATGCAGGATAGAGTTGGGTCCAATGAGAACTTGCTGATTGATCCCGGACCCCTCTCTCATGTGTAGTCTCTTATCATGGAATGTGAAGGGTTTGAACTCTCCCCTTAAACAAAAAGAGTTGAAGAAGGTGGTCAGGGAGAATAAATTTAATTTGGTAATTTTAGTGGAAACAAAGTTGGTGGAATCTCGAGGGAATGAATATTTATTGAAAGGCTGGAAAGGATGGAGATGGTTTACTAATTATGGCAGTAGTAATAGAGGGAGAATTATGGTAATTTGGGATGATACTTTAGACCTAATGCAGTTGCAACAGTCTGCACAATTCATCCATTGTCAGGGCATTTTTAAGGAGTGCTTTCTTCTTGACTTGTGTATACGCATCAAATGAAGCTAAGGAGAGGGAGGTATTGTGGGAGGATCTAAAGAGGTTCATAGGAAAGATCAATACTCCTTGGATTGTCATGGGGGATTTCAACAACATTCTAAGAGCAGAGGAAAAGTTGGGAGGCAGACCAGTGGTTCTTCAAGATGTCGAATCATTTCAGGGATGTCTTGATGATTGTGGATTAAATGATTTGAGACAAGTTCGAAAACTATTCACATGGTGTAATAAGAGGTTGGGATGTGATAGAATTTATGCTAAATTGGATCGAATTCTCGCCAATGGGGAGTGGATGGACTACTATTCTGATGCACTTGTTTCTGTGCAAATGGAGAGTTTATCTAATCAATCTCCTATTGTAGTTCAGGTCCTTGGAGTTCCACTGAAAATTAGTAGACCATTCAAGCACTTTAATATGTGGAGTTATTCTTCACAATTTTTGAGTATTGTTAGCACCAGTTGGACAAGTCCTGTTAGAAGGACCAAGATGTTTCAAGTATACACAAAGATGAAAAGACTTAAACCTTTGCTGAAGAAGCTGAATAGGGATCAGTTCGCAGATATTGTAGAAAGGGCTAATAAGGATCAAATCTATTTATGGGGGCTACAGGAAATATTAAGCGGGGATCCTTCTAATCTGGTTCTGTAAGCTAATGAAATAGAAGCAATAAAGAAGTATGTGGAATCCAACAAAGCTGCAAATTATTTTTTGCAACAAAAGGCTAAGGAGCAGCAGATGTTGGAAGGAGATGAGAATACAGGGTACTTTCATTCCTTGTTGAAGGCTAAAACTATGCGTAATCGCATCTGGAGTATTACTAAGGAATCTGGGTAAGTTGTTCATGATTGGCAGGAGATTGAAACCCATTTTGTTGAGTTCTATAAACAAATGCTGGGAAAAGAATCATTAGGAATCCTACAAAGAAGGAGACATTCCAGATGGGGTCAACCTTGGATGTGAAGCAGCAACTTGGCTTAATTCGTCCAGTGAAGAGGGAAGAAGTAAAGCCTGCTATATGGGAAATGAATGCAAATAAAAGCCCCGGTCCAGATGGATTTGGAGCTGGCTTCTTCAAAGCAGCTTGGAGTGTAATTGGAGAAGAAGTTACGGATGCAATTCTGGAATTCTTCGCCACAGGCCAGTACTTAAGCAAACCAACTGTACTTTGTTAGCTTTAATACCTAAATTTGAGGTTCCTTTGAATGCTTCACATTTTCATCCAATATCATGTTGTAATGTCTTATACAAATGTATTTCTAAAATTCTCTATAATGAGCTGAAGGTAGTTTTGTAAAAGATAGACTTATATTACATAATGTATTGATCACCCAGGAGCTGATTATATTATATAGGAGGAAAGGGGTTAGTGGGAGATTATTGATGAAAATAGATCTACAAAAGGCTTATGATACTGTAGAATGGGGGTTGGTCGAAGAAATGTTAGTAGGTTTTGGATTTCCGGAGCAGTCTCGGAATTGGATTCTGGCCTCTGTGACCTCAACAACCTTCTCGTTGTCTTTAAATGGAAGTATTGCTGGATTTTTCCCTGGTAGGAGAGGTCTAAGACAAGGAGACCCTGTTTCACCGCATCTATTTGTTCTAGTGAAGGAATATTTAACTAGAAGCTTGAAAGGAATAGTTGACTCAAACTTTAAGTTCCATTCAAAGTGTCGAGAGATGAAACTGACTAACATCTTCTTTGCAGATGATCTCATAATTTTCTGCAAAGCAGACGTAGCTACTGTTAAGATAATCATGTCGGTTTTTAAGGACTTCTCTAGTACTATTGTCCTTGTTGCAAATAAGCATAAATCTTCTATCTACTTTGGTGGGGTTGATCTGAAAATACAAGAGAAGTTCTGTGAAATGACTCAGTTTAGCATTGGCTCCTTTCCCATGAAATACTTAGGAGTATCTCTGTCTCCTAAGAAATGGTCAAAGTTGGAATGCCAGGATATTATAAGACGTATTGTGGCTAGGGTTAAGTGTTGGAGTACCTGATGTTTGTCCTATGCCGGGCGTTTGTTGTTGATTAACTCTGTCTTGATGTCTATGCAAAATTATTAGGGTTCCATCTTTCATTTGCCACAATCTATAACGGATATGGTGAATAAAATTTGTCGGGATTTTCTATGGGTTATTAAAAGTCCAGGCAGGTCTATTCCTTTGGTCAGCTGGGAAGTTGTATGTAGAAGGAAGGCTAAAAGAGGACTTGGTATCAGGGATGCCAAATTGTGGAACAAAGCTTCCATCATCAAGCAAATATGGCATCTAGCACAGCAAAAGGAAGCACTATGGGTCAAATGGATTCATGGTGCTTATATGAAGCAGACCACTATTTGGGAAGCTCAGTTTAAACCTGATTCTAGTTGGCAATGGAAGCAGTTTCTGAAGCTAAGGGATCAAGTGAAGAATGGTTTTGAAGGAGCACAATGGAAGGCTAAGAAACAAGGCAAATACACCATTAGCTTTGGTTATAGTCTGGTTGGTGAAGGTGAAAAGAAACCCGAATTCAAGTGTGTTTGGGACAAAATGACAATTCCCAGGCATTGCTTTATTTCATGGCTAGTTTGGAAGATAAGTCTTCTTACCAAAGACATTGGCCAGGATGAATGTTGATATCCAGGACCCTTCTTGTCTCTTATTCAGGCTAGAGGTGGAGTCCATTGACCACTTATTCTTTCACTGTCCATTTGCACCTGAACTAATAGAGATGATCAAAAGATGGTTGGGTCACAGGAGAGTGTCAACTCAGGGAGACAGATGGAAACAACAGGTTTTGACAGTTTGGAAAGGAACTAAGTGTAAAAGGCAGGTCTTCCTGGCAGGTTTGAATGCTAGTATGTATCATATTTGGGAAGAGAGGAATAGGAGGTACTTTGGGAGTTTAGAACAAGGACCATCAGACATACTGAAGAGGATTCAAGCTGAATTGAAATCCAGATTTCTACGGTGGAACAATAAGCAAAACAGGGCCGCTGAGGATAGAATTTTTCATTTGTTTTTTCCGTAAGTGATGTTACTGAGTTGCACATGTAATAGATTAGTAGTTAGAAAGTAGAGTGTTGATAGCTTCTGAGGTTTAGGAGTTTTCAATTTTGGTAATTTGAGAAGGTCACAAGATCAGCTGTACAGAATGGTCACTTTGGTGTTAATGTTAATATATTTATCTTTTTACCAAAAAAAAAAACGAAAAGGAATGCATCGAAGTATAAGATTTTTTCATGTATGGCAAAGGATGTGTTGGCTGTCCCAATTTCAACAGTTGCTTCTGAATCGGCCTTTAGTACTAGGGGTCGAATTCTAGATCCATATAGGAGTTCTCTTCTTCCTAGAACAGTACAAGCCCTGATTTGTGCTCAAAATTGGTTGAAGGATGAACTAAAAAGAGAAGAAGATGCAAAAGTTTATATACATGATGTTTGGGAATATGAGATCGCAGAATTTGAAACTATTGAGAAAGGTAAGTTTCAATGCTTTCTTTAATATATTCTTAAGTTTCAAAAATATTATTAATTGGTGGCAGGTG